ATTTATTATAATTAACCATAAAAATTTTTTAATAAATTAATTTTTTTAATTAGCTTATGATTTATTGGATAATTTTTCTATTAGTTTGTTTAATCAAAAGACAACATAAAGCTCTGTTTATAATATGTTTAACACCTAAAATAGTAAGTGATATAGAAAGCCAAGAAAATAGTTCAACGTATATCGATCAACGTGTAGGAGATAATATAGAAATAAATATAAAACAGCCTCGTTATAGTATATGGTTTAATAAAGAAATTATATGCTATTCAATAAGTGTTTTATTATCAATTACACTTCTAGGACTTTCTATTTTTATTATTTTAAAAGGTTTTAACATAATTTAATCTTTTATTAAATTACCATTTAAAGATTTTCTTTATAAAATTTTTGTTTAAAATAATAATTTTATAACTTACTTTTCTTTAATAAACAAAACAATTTACTTTCTTATTAGTCATTTCTTAAAGTTATTAACAAGAATTCTTTTTAAATTAAATTTTATATTTATTTACCCATGGAAAATATAATAGAAAAGAATAAAGTTTACAATATACCAAATAATAAAGTTATTGAAAAGTTAATTAGAAATTTTCTTAATAACAAGAAAGTCAATACACTTTCAGTTGTACACAATGATGATTTTATACAGTCCTATGTTTATAGAAATATAGAGACTTGCACAGATAGAAATCTGAAAATAGTTTCAGTCAATGAAATTTCTGATCTTGAAAACACAATAAGAGATTCACTAATGCTCTCTATAGTAAAGAAAAAGTATTTCTATGAAGGAGAGGTTACTGAAATGAAAGAGGTTAATGAATTTATCGTTATTACTCTTATGACTAAAAAAGAATCTAAAGTTGTTCAATTGCCCAAGTATCTCAAGAACTTATTAGATGGCATTAGAGTGGGTGATATTATTTATATTGAACCATCAATAGGAATTGTCAAGAGGATAGGTAGAAGTGAAAAGTATATTAATGAGTATGATTTAGAAGCTAAGAGATATATTTCTAATAAAAAGGGACAGGTTTTTAACAGTAAAGATACAGATTATACTTTATCACTTTATGATTTAGATTTTTATTTTAATAGAAACGATTTTAATATTACGTCATACACAAGAGAATTTACAAACGAGTTTGTAGAAAATAATAATTTTATAATAGGATACACTTTAATAATTATAAAAGATGCACATTTATTAGATGAGTGTGGTTTAAATATAATTAAAGAATATTCAGAGACTTATGAAAGCTTTAAGTTCATTCTTATTGGGTATATGAGTGAATTATTATTTAGAAATGGAATGTGTGTAAAACTCAATGAAGAGATGTCAAATATTGATAAACTAAAAATACTTTCTAATAAAGCAAATGATGATGATTTTGTAAATCCAATTAAAGAAATTCTTAATGATAACAATTTAAAAACAATTTCTACTATGATGAATATTTCTGATTCAGCTAGTGAATTTATTGAGAATTTAAAGTTAATAAAATGAAAAATTTTTAAAATTTTTAACCCATAAAATAGAAGAGAGAATGGAAATTTTATGTTGTAATTGTGGTATAGAAATTGAGTTTAATAACAAGAATATGTGCTCTAATTGCATATATACATCTTCAAATTTACTACAAAAGATAGATAAAACTACAATAATAGAAACATGTAGGGGATGTGAAAGATATCATATGCCGCCATCATCATGGAGACATTTACAGCCAGGATCTCACGAATTATTAATACATTGTCTAAATAAGAACAGATCTGCAAAGACTCTTAACATTACAGATAGTAATTTTATTTATACAGAGGAGCATTCTAAAATGTTGATAATTGAAATTAAAATATTAGACGAAGGAGTAGAATATGTAGTTAATTTACAATTTAAAATTAGAAATAGACAATGTGGAGATTGTATGAGAGCAGAATCTAAACAGTTTTGGAATTCAGTAGTTCAATTAAGACAACATCCAGCATCAAAAAGAACATTTTGGTTTGTTGAACAATTAGTATCTAATCATAACGCTCATATGGAAACTACAAATATTAAAGAAACTAAAGATGGAATAGACTTTTTCTTTACTAAGAAAAACTCAGCTATAAAATTAGTTAAATTTCTAACTAACTTTTTTGGTGTTCAAAGAAAAGACAGTAATAGATTAATATCAGAAGATAGAAGAAATAACACCTGTAACAACAAGAATACCTATTGTATTGAGTTAATGCCATTCTGTAAAGATGATTTAGTTGCTATCAAAAATAAGTCTAAATATGATTTATTTGTAGTTAATAAGATGAATACATTTTGTACACTCACTAATTTAGAGACTAAGAAAACAAAGCTCATTACTAGTAAAGATTACTTTTCAAATAAAGATCAGTATGTTATTTTACAGAGAAGTAAAGATTTTATAGAATATGAAGTGTTGGTTGTTAATAGACATAATAAATCTATAAGTATCACTAATGATAATGAAAATATTATTGAAATACAAACAGATATGGAATTAGAGGTGGATAACAAAGTTTATTGTTATGATCTTTCAATTAAAAATTTTCCAATTGATTATGAATTTGATGAGACAGTTTTATTAATAAGAAAAGTGCTTAATGTACCAATTAAGCTTAAAGATGGAAACACACCAGAAAGAGAATATGGATTGTTTTTAGAAAACATTGAACAATACAAAGATATATTTGAAAGTATAGCAGAACATAGAGAAACACCAGTAGAAAATTTAGTTAAACAATTAAACTGTCTTTAAGAAATTTATTTATACTTTTCGTTAGTTAAATTATCAATAAACTTAGAATCAAATAGAATAGTTTTAGTTTCTTTTTCCCATTTAATGGGATTAAACACTTCAATACTTTTATTTGAATAATCAGCTTGAGGATTTTTTAAATAACAAAACATTTCTAATGTTTTTGAGTAGTAAAAATCACGATTTATTAGCTCATTAAAAGCATCAATTTGAATTTGACTGTTAGGAATGGCATAAAATATATAAAAGAGGGTCTGTTCATTTAATGAATTAAACTTTATGTTGTCAAAATTAAATTCTGTATAACACTTTGGTAATGCTCTTGATAAAGTTGATTCAGTTTTTGTGTCTTTGAAATAATTAAATGAATTAGTTCTATTTGCTATCTTTTCTAAGTCTTCTACTGTTTCTAATTCTCTTTCTTTCATA